CCCTGACATTGCTTCTTCTTCTTCTTCTCAACAACTTCCTTGATCTAACTAGAAAAAATGAATGTTCAGAACTTCAGATATATCGATTAAATAAAATCCTTTTACTGATTCTATTCCAAAAAGAATGAAGATAAAAAGGCATGAAACTAAGCCAAGAAAACAAATCTGGATGATCAATTTACGACAATATTTGACAATTAGTTCAACAACAATTCAACTAAGTTTTGTTTCAAATAAATTTCGTATCGATTCGCTAACGATAAATATTAATAAGAGAAGCATGCATGTCTCTTGTTATATAAAACGTTACAAAGAAATCAATCGAATTACATAAATAAAAACAAAGACAAGGATAATCGACAGAAACTGGCATAAAAGAATTGAAAAACGCGAGCAGATTATACATGAACATGAAGAAGAATAGAAGATCTAACCGATGCGCTGACAGAAAGAGAGAAAATATTAATGCGAATGTAGGTTTAAAAAAATCCAGGAGAAATAGAGGGTATTTATAGAATCGTAAGGTCAGAATCTTTCGGACTCCTTTCTTTTCTAATATACATGATATGATAGGGTGCAAATGCAATTGGTCATCCCATCCCAGGTGGACTNTCCCATTCCCGCAATTATAATTGCATTGAAGTGATACCATTGTGTTTTTGCCACATCAAGAGCATTAAGCACCTTCAAATTCTCCCCTGACATTGCTTCTTCTTCTTCTCAACAACTTTCTTGATCTAACTGGAAAAAAAAAAAGAAAGAATGTTCAGAACTTCAGATATATCGATTAAATAAAATCCTTTTACTGATTCTATTCCGAAAAGAACGAAGATAAAAAGGCGTGAAACTAAGCCAAGAAAACAAATCTGGATGATCAATTTACGACAATATTTGACAATTAGTTCAAGAACAATTCAACCAAGTTTTGTTTCGAATAAATTTCATATCGATTCGCTAAAGATAAATATTAATAAGAGAAGCATGCATGTCTCTTGTTATATAAAACGTTACAAAGAAATCAATCGAATTATATAAATAAAAACAAAGAGAAGGATAATTAAAAGAATTGAAAAAAGTGGGCCGGCAGATTATACATGAACATGAAGAAGAATAGAAGAACTAACCGGTGCGCTGACAGAAAGAGAGAAAATATTAATGTGAATGTAGGTTAAAAAAAATCCAGGGGAAATAGATGGTATTTATAGAATCGCAAGGTCAGAATCTTCGCCGGTATATTCCCTGCTATTTAACTATCAGTGGAAGAAATAAATGTCGATTTTTCGCGAAGCAGTTGAGATATGATAGGAGTCCTTTGTAGAAGTGGGGGTGCAAATGCAATTGGACTTGAATTTCTAATCACATCAACAACATAATCCCTTTATTACTAGTATTTCGTTAAGATAATTTCCTTTTTTAAAAAAATTAATTAATATTTGTGAATAATCATTGTACCGTTGCAATCCTAATTGAAATAAATAAATAAAATATGCAAGAGTTTTTAGTCTTACTCAATTCTTTTATCCTATTTAATCATTGAAATTCTGAAAATTATATTTCTTAGTTTATTGACACATATCTAAATCCTTATTGAAATTTTGAATATTTTATTTCAATTGCACGTAAATTAATATTTCGAAAGAATATTATATTATTGATCATGAAAAAAAATCCAATGTTATATCATATATTAATATTTCAATAGAATATTAAGTTGTTATTCTGGAATTTAAAAAATAAAAAATAAAAACTTTATGCTTTGACAATATTTACGATGAATCTTCTTTATGATGGTGGCTTTGTGGCCGCGAACCGCCCTCCGGAAGACCACTACCTTGTTCGATTTCAAAACTTCACCATTTTTGTTGAGCTTTGTGTTCGTAGCAACGTCGGTGCGTTGCTTCTGTCGTCGCGCGTTGTTGTTTGGATGAAGGGATTGAGGATTTGGGTGGTAACGCTTCGAGCGCAATTTGTGAAATTGCATGCCCTTGCTTGTAATTTTGTGGTGGTGGTGTGGTTCCGACGGTGGTGGTGAGGTGATGTGGATGATGGTGCGATTGTAGGGTCGGGTTGGGGAGATGGGTGGAAAAATGCGACTAGTTAATTGAGTAATTGTAATCAATTAATTATAATATGTGACCGATTGACAAGTAATCTGTGACCTCGAAATAATCGATGACTTATAAATTTTTTGATTTGTGATCGAGAAATAATTTGTGACCTATAAAATTCACAAATCAATACAAACGGGTCACAGATCTATTGCCGGAATAAATCGATGGCGAAACGATCACCGGAATAGTCGCTGGAATTAGAGCAGTTATCGGAATCGGAGTAGTGCCGGAATAGTCGCCAGAATCGGAGCGGTAATCAGACGGTCATCGGAGCGACAGTGGTCGTGGAGGTGGGGTGAGTTAATTTTATATATATAAATGTCAAATATCTGATTTTTGAAATTTAAAAGTTGTTTTCTTATTTTTGAAATAGTATATATTTAAAGTAGGATTTATGAATTTTTCCCATTGTTATTTCTTCTCCTTTAGTTTTATAACACTAATCCTTTTGGAGTTCTAAGTAGAGGTAGTTATGGTAAGTTTCTATCTAATTCAGATAAGAATCGGAGGG